AAGTAGACCCTATTTATTGAAGACACTTGAAATGCTAGTTCTACTGAGAAATCATGCACTCCAGAACCTGTTAGATTTCCAAGCTGGATGCTTTCTACAGTGTAGGGTAAAAATTGAAAAGCTTTATACATTTGTGAGAATGACTGTGTATCAAGACCTAAACTTGCAACACTTTTCTCACATGGAATCCTTTCTAGTTTAACAAGCTGTACTGTTTCTTGGAGATAAAACTTCATCTGGTCACTTAGGCTTTTATGTAATAATAATGCTTTATCCACATACTCCATATTTCCATAGTCTTGAAAATGTAACTTGGGATGGACAGTTTAATATTACATAGGAATTTTAATTTTTTTAGAGTTGCAGTCCAAGTGCTCTGCAAGCCAGACTTAAAGTAGCTGCCCATGAAGCTGAAGAGGAGTCTGACACTATTGCAGAAGACTTCTTGGAAGGCAAAACAGAAATAGATGACTTTCTTAGTAGTTTCATGGAAAAGAGAACGGTACGTAATATACAAATACTTCTAATCTGAGATATGTATGACACATAAATAAATTTAGGACTTAGAGTTTGAGCAGTCCTGTGGTACAGAACAGTGCTTTAGTGAGCTTTGACAGAAGAAAAAGTTATCCTTAACTGGCTTCAGCGTATTTAGAATATAATCAGTGTATTTAGAATATACATTCCGAAGGCACATATTTTTAAGGCAGGAGTGCAAAGGTCTCCTGCGTTGGACACTATTGGTGTGTTGTTGCAAATATTTTTGCGACACTTTCTTGAATATCATATACAGATACAGGGAAGATAGCCACATGGTAAATTTCAAATTTGGAAGGTCAGCATAAAATGACATGTTGTATTAAACAACATTAATGTTTAATGTATTAAACTTATTAAACTAATTATTTTGTTGATGGCTGTCACCAAATAAGTAACTGAGGTTCAAAAAACACCATTCTTGCCGTAACAGAAGTAACTTAGCAGACATTGTACCTTTCTGTAAAGATGCCTAGTAAGTGCATTTCATAACATTACAAACAATCCTCTTGTAAGCAATTGTGGATGGAATAATGTTATCAATATAGACCATTGGGAGGTAGGTCAGAGGGCTTTTCTTTTTTTAAAAAGTCTGCAAAGTAGCTAAATAATTAAGGAGGAACTGGTATGCATTATAAAAAATTGTGTTCAGAATTCAGTCTTGTACTTCTGGTTTTATAGCTGTGCCACTGCAGACGAGCCAAAGAGGAAAAACTTCAACAGGCAATAGCAATGCACAGCCAATTTCACGCTCCACTATAGGTAAACTTTTTTTTTTTAAACAATTTACCAAAAGGTTCCACACTGTGTAACTGCAAATGAATTTGTTACAGTGCTTAGTGTTCTAATGATGCTGTGGAAATCAAGTATGTACTGGATGTGTTGTTATTTGTGTTTAAAATATAACTTCTGGAGGAGTTAAAATATCTAACTATGGAAATTTGTCTTTACAGACTTCCCGCAAACTACACCTGCCAAGAGAACGAATGAAAAACCCAATAAAGCACACTTTTTAATAATTATTATTTGCAAATAAGCATTTCATCTTATATGGTTGTATTTATAGAAGAGATTGTATAAAAAGTTGGAATGGTTTTTGTACAAATTAGAATGTCTCTTTATATTCTCATTGTATTCAAGAATCCTTCTATTGCAATCTTTGGATTAATTTCTTGTATTTATTGATAATTCTTATTATATTTAAGTTCCCTGCTGCTATACTCCATTCCTCAGAGATTAAATATCTAAACATGTAATTTTGACTAGCTTTTTACATTTTTATAAAAACATAATTCATATCTTTTGTATTCTGAACTTTAAACATAGATTTGGCTTGATCTGTGGAAGACTCTGAGATAAGTGTTGATAGGACTCTGGAAACTGAAGAAGTTCTTAACTGAGATGGTCAGTGGATTCACAAGCTGTCTTTTCTTGAAACCAAAATACTGAAGAACAAGTTTTTTACTTCCAAGTAATAATAGAAAACTAAGTGTAGCCTATATTGTGTTTTGGATAAATAGATTGGGATTAAGCAAAGAATGTGTTGGAACAAATTATATTGGAACCAAAATAGAATAAATGATCTCTGCTTAGATTTTGTATGTTGCTTAGTAGCTCTGATGCACTGATTTCAGGAGTGGCTTGGTATCTACCACTATAATTAAACACAATTTTCATCTGACCATTTCATTTTCTTTTTTTTTTTTTCTTGTACTTAAAGGATTAATAATCAGGTCACCTCCCCGTTTCTGTTCTATGCAATATGAATATGTTCATCATGTGAGGAACTCAGAAGCACTTTACAAAAACTATCACTAAAGTTCTGTGGGAAATAGTTACTTTTTCCTAATTTTAAGAAAGAAACTAATGTGGTTGGAGTTGCATTGTGTGCTGTGTTAAGGGAAGGGATAGAATTTGAAATTGAGATTTAATTCTGCTCTTCAGTGGCTGAATCTTGCATCTGGTAAGCTGACTTTTTTAGGATGGGGGTATATCTGGTGAGAGTTGATAGGACGAAATGAAGATACTTGGGTGTCTGAAAAAAATATACTTTATAAGTGCCATGGTTAAACAATAATTTTAGAGTATCTTCTTCTTCCAAAAAATGTGCTTCTTGTATATTGACATAGCACTTCTGCTAATGTGCTAACTAAAGTCCTAGTTAGAAATGAGATGATGGTGGTTTCCAAGTGGTTCTGGACTTTTGTCTGAGTAGCATGATTTCTGCAGCTCTGGAGAAGAGTTAGATTTCAGTCATTGTTGTTACCTTCTTGGCAAACTCTCATCTATTTTTGTGCTGGATGTATAAGTTGTCTCTGATCTTTTTCTAAGGATCTAGCTATTGTTAAAGACTAGACTCACAACTCTGTACAGGGCTGGTTTTTTATTGTTGTTTCTTCCTTGTAAGCAGAGAAAGGAACAGATGACCAGACATCTGGTGCTTTTGCTGTATTGGGCTAGTATCTTCTTTATATGTTTTATAATGGCATGGAATGGTAGGTTTCTGTTCTCATCTGCCTCCTCATCTTGAATGTTGTGTCATGTATTATGGTGCTGTACTGCCACTGAACTCTTTAGCCAGGTCACCTTCAGGGGATTTGCTTCTCAAACTTGTACAAGTTCTGAACACTTCAGCTGTTCTTCTTATGTTACTTTGGCAAATTTGCAAATTCAGAACTTCTCCATGGAGTCTTTCTAGTGGTAGTGGAGTAGAGTTTAGAAGAAATTGTCACTGTTCGATGCCAGTTCAGTGTTTGTTGTTCAGGGATATGAGACTTAAAGGTCTCCTCTTTTCTCCCTTTCTATTCTCTCATGTCATTGTTCCTATTCTTTGGATTTTTTTTCCCTTATTTTTTACCTCTTTGTAGATACAAACCCATCCTCTAGAAAAGAAGCACAAAAGTCTCTGTATTCAACAATTATATATGTTGGGTTAGCTGCAGGAATCCCATCACATCCAAGAAAAGCCAGCCTGTTTCTGGTCTTTAAAGGCCAATCTGATGCAGGTTTGTATTTTCTTCTTGTGGTTTGGGTTTTTTTCTTATCTTTAGTCCTACATTGGTTGCATATTCACCAGAAGACTTAGTTAGAACACTGGTAACACTCTGTCAAGAGTTAGGTTTTTTGCTTCTAGCATGCTGGTAGCTCACTGCTGAGCACGTTCCTTACCTTACTTTGCCAAAATATGGAGTGTAGGTCTAAATCCACCTTTAAACAACTCTGTAAAGTGTAAGAGAATGGCATCTGCTGTTAGATGCATATTCTGAAGGCTTTTGAAATGTGTCAAGTGAACTTCTAAGCAATGGGGAACAGGCTACATACAATGACTTGTTTCTTGGGAGCCTTGCACTACGTCATTCTCAGGTGTTCTGCCAAGTGGGAAAGAGAACTCAGCAAGAAATAAGAGTAAGGAGATGGCTTGTCTCTGATGTTGCAGTAGTCTGGGGGGTGAAATACGTTCTGTATTGTAACTGCTAATTGAGCCTGGGGTTTGCCTAATTTCAATACCTGATCTTACTGCTAATTTACAGGACCGTAGAATGGGTAAGGTTGGAAGACACCACAGTGGGTTGTCTGGTCCAACCTCCCTGCTCAAGGAGGGGCATCCTAGAGCACATGGCACAGGATTGCATCCAGACAATTCTTGAGTATCTCCACTGAGGGAGACTCCACAACATCTCTGGGCAGTCTGTTCCAGTGCTTGGTCACCTGCACCGTAAAGAAGTTCTTCCTCATATTTAGGTGGAGCTTCCCGTGCATCAGTTTCTGGCTGTTGCCTCTTGCCCTATTGCTTGGCACCACCAAGAACAGCCTGGCTTCATCCTCTTGACATCCTCTTCAGATACTTACAGACACTGATGAGGTCCACTCTCTGACGTCACTTCTGAAGGCTGAACAGGCCCAGCTCTCAGCCTGTTCTCATCATTGAGGTGCTTCAGTCCCCTCATCATCTTTGTTGCCCTCTGCTGGACATGCCCTCTGCTGGACATGCTTCAGGAGCTCCATATCTCTCTTGTACTGAGGAGCCCAGAAATACTCTTCCCCAGGTGCAGTACTCTTCATTTGCCTTTTCTGAATTTCAGAAGGTCTCTCTGCCCATCTCTCCAACCTGTTGAGGTCCTTCTGAAGGGCTGCACAGCACTCTGGAGTGTTTGTCACTCCTCCCAGCTTTGTGTCATCAGCAAAATTGCTGATGAGGCACTCTGCTGTGCTAGCCACCTCTGCAAGCAAGAGGCTGTTATGACAAAGTCAGTTCTAAACAGTATGTACTATAATTCTCTGCTGTGTACATACTCCTGCAGTTTTGCTGCTTTGGACTGGACCAAATGTGTAAGTTAGAAATCTTACGGTTTTATTCATGTCCAAATTCTTACTACTCCCTTCAAAGACTACCATAAATCTTTCTAAAAGAGAGATTTAAGAGACCTTCAGGTGAAACTGAATTAAAACTCTTGACAACAAAGTTATCAGCCTTAATTGTGTCATTCTGAACAGTAAATGCTGTAATGCTAAACTTACAAATAAAGGCTTTGGGATTTTTATATATCTTGTAATCATCTAACTTACAGATAGAGTTGGGCATTTGACATTGCAGGACTTCTTGGGTGGATACAGAATTATATTGGAAATGGATGCAGTAAGCTACTCAAGGGAAAGCTTAATATCTTCATGAGTAGTGATGTGAGCTTTTCGTGTTTAACCCTTTCAGTAGCGGTAATTCTTGGAGCCACCTTCACTGAAACAGGCTTTGAAAACCCATATTGGATTTCTGTCTTTTGTAAGCACCTTATTTTGGTCAGATACCTTGTAGACATCACACAGTAATAAGCTACGAAGAAAGCTTGTATATCAATAATAAGAATATACTTCACATAAAAGAACTGTGTTCTTTAGTCTCCACAAAGGGAATAAATGCATCCAAAAAACCTTGGCAACCAGCAGACTTAAAAAGTGAGTCCTTGCCTGAACTCAGTCACAATTCTGGTGGACCTTTAAGGTTTCATTAGCTTCTTTCCAGAATAATTTATATTAAAAGACTACTACATTTTATTTTAAGATTTAGCATTAATTGATTTGCTGGTTTCAGGTGTTTTACTGGAAATTTAAATATTATAGATTAAATGCTTATTTTACCTTATTGTCCCCCTTTGGCAGTGTTTCTGGTCTCTCTGAATTCACGTTTTGCAGTACGCTTGGCTCTAGATCTTTGGCAGATTTTTCATGAGTCTTAGTACTGTGATAAGTTGACCCACCACATGTTTCTCCCTTCCCAAATGAATTGTCAGTGACTTTCCTGTCCTTGGAGGATTTTTCAGTCACTGTGGTGTTAACCTGTCTCTGCACTACAGAGCATAGAGGTGACGGACCAACCTAAAAGCTGCACTCAGCCTTCAGCCTGCACCCAGAAACAGCCCGTCACCTTGACTGTGTTTGTGATCTACTTGAGAACTCTGTGTATAGATCAGGGCAACATCTACATAAAAGCATCAAGTTAGCTAGTTAACAGGGATGACATGCTTATCTTTGTTGCAAAGGCTACCTCTTAGTTGTTGCTGGGGCTTAATTGTTATTAGTTTGTGTCATTAAACATATTCTATGCTATGTGAACTTGTGCTCTGGCTTGCCCTGTCTTCAAAGAATGTGGTTCCCTGTCTTACTTGCTGATCTTACAAAGAGCTTTCCTTCCCTGCCTCCCTCCATTTACTTTTTTTTTTTTTTCTCTTCATACTTTTAATGATATCATTTGCTCTGAGTTGCGCCCTCCAACTTTAATTCTCTTTCTCAGATGTTTGGAATCCATTTGCAGTTTATCGCCTTTTTCTCTCTTGTACAGAACTACCAGTAAAAGCAGCTAGTGAATAGGTTTTCCTTCTGTGCTTCAGATAGTGATCTTCTGTAGAGAAGGCTTCAGCTGTTGGACCCCATTGCCTTCAGTGTCCTTTAAAGGCACATTTTCATACTAAAGACCAGCTGGAACCTAGTGAGGCCTCCAGCAGTTTAGCTACGTTCATTTGTGTCGGATTTCAAATTACAGTGGGCTTATGCCAACTTTGCAAAGGTTTGCAGCACAAGGCTACAAGAAATCCATATGGTTTTCTCAAGCTTTTTTGGTTTGCGTTTCCTAAAAAAAATAAATACGAGGCTGTAACATGCTCCCATATAATTAACACAATTGATGAGAGTCTTGGTTTTCTTAGTTATCAGTTGTAGATTCCTCCACGTATTAAAACTACTGGATTAAAGTATCAAAGTAGGGAAGATAGAAAAATCCCTTGTTCTTAGTGGCAAAGTGACTCTTGAGTAAATGAAAAACTACAGTACAAAAACCAGCATAGCAAACCTTTGTTTCACTCACTGGTGTGAAATAAAATTAAATTACACCTAAGTGTTTATTTGAAAGTGTTTCTCATTAGCCTGATAATGCCACAAATACATGCAGTACAGTGAAAACAGTAGCAGCTAATGCAAAATTTCAAAGGCTGAAAGACACATCACAGAGGGCTGCTAAGTGAAGGCTTAATAAAGAAAATGTTAATAAGTTAATATTTTAGTTGTAAAGCTAGTTACAAGGAGTCGCATAAGCTATACAAAGACAGTGCTTTGAATTTACATATCTTGCTGTTCTGCATTTATTTCTAGACATGTCTAATAGGACACAATATCATATATAATTTTATCTTTTAAAGATGTGCAATAACATTGCCCATTTTCAAGCTCATTTTTAGGTAGAATGTTTGTGTGTTTTGTTTTTGTTGCTGAATTTGCAGCATATTTCTTTAGTTTGAGAAAATGCATTCAAAGTCTCTAATAACATAAATTTTACAGGCTATACTCAAAATACAAAAAATTTTTAAAAGTGCAATTAAAATCTGGGATTTCATTTATTAAAAATTCATAAAGATTAAAAACAGAAGGCTAGATTCTCAACAGAGTATACCTTAG